CTACCTATAAACAGATGTTATCAACATACTTTTGCCTTTTGTGCCCAGTACATGATCTCTCCCAGCACTCCTCCCATGGCCACCCTCCCCTGATGCTTTGCCATCCCAGCCTGCAGCATCCAGCTTTGGCCCCAGGGCCAAACACAAAGCTGAGCTGCTGCCTGCTCCAGGACAGTACTTGAATCTAAGACAAGTCACCCCCCCACCCCAACACACACACACACACACACACACACACACACACTCCCCTCCCCCTGTTGACTTGGGAAAACATCTCAGGTTGGATTTGAGTAAATATGGTAAATGGAGGAAAGAAGCAGGGCTGCTATGCAGTGAGGATGGCATCAAGACTAAAGACAGCATAGGTGTGACCTAAAAAACTAAACTACTGCTCTGTCTCCATTTTTACTAAGGACAGTGATGAACTTAGGGGCAAGATAGTTCATGGGAATAAAGGTCTTCATATAGAAATTACCACAACCAAGGTAAAGGGAAATTCAGAGTTAAATGTACTCAAGCTTCAGAGGGATTGGATAAAACTTTCATCCTAGCATACAAGACAACCAGACATATGGAATCACATGTCTGATACACTTATTAAATTCTATCAAGTCATATGCCTGGAAAATATTAAATACTATGCTTACAGTTAAGAAAGGGATAAAAAGCAATCAAACCAATTACAGGTACATTAAACTGATCTAAACATTCTTGAAAGAAAAACACAAACACTTTCTTTTCTTTTTCAAAAAGGGTCCAAACCTGTGAGGCACTGACTTCATGGGATTTGAAAGCACCTAGCCTTGCTTGAGATCTGGACCGTATTTGATTGAAAAATAGATACCACCGTGGTGCTCCCCATTCTTGAAGCTTTTACTTTCATCAGGCACTCTTAGTATGTATAAAAAAAAATATGCAGAAAATAATCAAAATCACAAATGTTATAAAACAAATTTTATTTTGCAATATTTTATCATAATGAATTGCATCTCTTTGGTAAAAATAAACTTTATAAACATTTTAATTAACAGAGGTTAGCATACAAAAAACTAAACTTCTGTAAATTGTCTTTAAAATGGGCAGTGGTCTAAACTTGAGGGAAAAGGGTTAGGATTGGTCACCTAATGGCAGAGTTATTCTAAACAAACCCAAGGACATTCCTTATATGCTACATCAGAAAACAAGCTAAGGGAACATTTTTAAAAACAATTCTGGTTGGTTTGATCAGAAGCATTCTCACAAATTCACTTTTAAATAAATAATAGTTACAATGAATTGGCAATTATAAAATGTTTTATATCACTATATGATGGCAACATAATACTTTTAATTATGCACTTTTTAGTTTGAAGAAATGTACATTTATAAAACAGGCTTGATAAATGGCACTGGCAGTTAAAATGTGAAGAATGTGCTTTAAGAAATAATGGCAGGTGCAACATTTAAAATACTCTACTTTTTCTTTCAATAAATATTTTGACTACACCATTATTAACATGTTCGAGTGTGCTTTGCTTTAACCAAAGCTTTCACTTTTTAGCCTAACAAAAAGTTGCAAACCATACAACTTCCATTTTAAAGTTGGATTTTAAAACTTATGATGTGACTTTCACAAAAGCAATAATTTAGTTCTGGAGTATGAAAAACTGATACAGCTTTGTACAGTATTCACATCAGTATTCATCTTAAATAGAGCAGCCCCCCTGGTAAAACAGGTCTCATACACTTACTTCTCCATTTAATTTTTAAGAATTGCATGTGATTCATTCATCCTTTCCCTACCTTTCAGCTGCTGCTAAAACATATTTAAACTGACCATTTGGTATGAACATTTTACATAATGTCGCTGACAAAATTAAAACAATGCTCAATTATACTAATTTATATTTATATACAACAGGATCCTGAACTCAAAGAAGGAAACAATGTGCAAGTGAAAAGAAAGGAAGCCATCTCGGGTAAATATAAGGAGGGTTTCTCAACAACAGAACAGTCAAGTTGACATCTGCTGCAGGAGGAGGTGCTGAGCGCTGAAAAGCAAGAGGCCACAGAGGGACTCCATAGCCCTTTGAAACTGGGAGAGCACTGGGATGCCTCCATCCCATTGGAATATAAAGGAACATGAGGGCAATTGGTTAGCAGTAGGTAACCAGTCTGCTTAGTAGCCATCGATAGGCTGGTTACCAGCAATAGGTAACTATCTGGGGAAGAGCGTAGCATAGATTGCTGCTATACGTGTGGACTAAGCCGCATTTCCAGGCTGAGAAGGGAGAATTCTAGCACCAGCCCCACCACACTGTTCTCAGTCTGCTTCCTTAGAGCTTCAAGGGAAGCCCTTTCAGCCTTAGCTTTTTGTTAATGACATAATGACTTTATTGCTTTGTCTTTGCATATGGAAACTGAAATATAGCAGTAATTTGTGGCCTGCCTGCCACACACACACATGCCAAGGGGTACCACTGATTTCAGTGTCAATGGTGGCACAGTCAGGCCTCTATTAAGCATGGAACCTTGTTACTTTTAGCTACACTGATTCTGTTGGGAAACAAAGGGCCACATTTGAAAAGGTTAACATTATTACTTTGGCAAACATATCAAGACAAGTATGAACAGACTGCCAGTATTTGAATAAGTGGGGCTGGATCTAGCTTCCTTCCAAGTTAACAGAAAGCCTGGGACTGACTTGAGCAGGTGCTGTGACCCACTTGTTCAGTTCCTTGGAATCTCACTTGTGGTTCTGAATGAAATTCCAAAGGATTAAAAGATACTTCTCCACAGGTCAAATGTGATTGCACTGCTGTAACAAATATGCTTTGTATTAGACATTATTAACAGGTATATGGGCAAACATCAGTGAAAGCAATGTCCTTAGGCATCAACATCTACATTGCATTATGAAGAAATCCCCTGAACCACAATATTTGTGCTTAAAATTAATGGGTTACTGGGGTTTTTTTTACATTTTGAGATCATTAATTACCTTATGTAATCAATAGCTTGTTCAATAGCAGTTAAGGCTAATCAGAGATGCAGGAAGAAGCATGGTTGTATACAATATTTCCTTCTCTGCAACTGGACTGGTGAGTGTGTGCAGACACAGGTTCATGAAAGAGATCATTTCTTTCTCTTTTTACCCTTCCATGCATAAAACTGATGAGTAACCAAAACGAGCATTCTGCAGTTTTTAAAGCTGTCTTTGTTAAATACCCAACTCACACTATGTAAACCTTAACATATTAAGGCTTGATCCAATGGCCATTAAATCAATGGAGTATTGTCATTGTCTTCAACAGGCACTGGAATGGGCCCTCAGAACAGGAGACCTTCAAAGCAGTACCACTGTATAAACATGTTAACTGGCTGGGAAAGCTACAGGGCAATATGCAGGAAGAGACAGATAAATAAGAAAAACACTGAACTACAAGCACCTTATTTCCAAGTGGCCAGAAAAATATTTTCTATCACTAAGTTTCAGGGTTTTTTAAAATCCAGCCTTGTTCTCAACAATCAAAAACAGTGGACATGGGTTCCTACATGGGTATATTTGCTTCTAATACTAAACCATCTTGCCCAACACATACTGGAAGCAATAGTTTAACATATTACTAAAAAAAAATTAATGGCACATCCTACTGCCTCTCAGAAACAGGCAAGATGACCTATGTTTAGTTCTGTACAATTCTGAAATACACTTAAGGCATTCTTTTAATTAAAGTACTGTTAAACCCAGTCTAATATGTCTGCATACCCATTTTTTTTCACAAAACACTACAAAATGCTACCTTCTATAGTAAGATGCAAGCAGTCATCACTCAGCTTTTTTATTTAAAAAAAAATCTTATACTTGATGACTAACATTCTTGGGCACAGGAAGTTTGGGTATTTTAAAGAGGTTCTTTTATTGCAAAGATGATGAGTTTTAAGGAGCTTCCCCCACACCAAAGTAATGTTTTTAAGGAGCTTCCCCCATGTCTTCTGTGTTACAGTGCATACCGAAGGCCCTAAACATACCTTGCTTATAGATTAACACTGTATTTCAAAGGTTGCAAAAGTGGTCCATATAGCATGAGGCTGAAACACAGTAATCAGTAGACTTAGAAAAAGGGAAGTATGACAGCCAACACTGCAACACTCATAGGGTCTCTTTAGACATTACAGTTATTAAATTGGTTTTCTTAAATCTTCAAAATGAAACTATTGTTTTGCTTTTCCTAAATGTGTCATAAGTTCTGTTCCCAAAAATCACTTAAAAATTTAGCCATCTAGAATCCCCACCTCATTCATTCATGCAACAAGACAGCATAGCCTGAACTCTGTGGGGGGGTTTTTAAGACAGTAACTTGTACATGAGGCTGGTGGGGCGAGAGGGGCTGGAGGAATTAAACAAAAACCTTTTGCTAACTGCTACTGAATATTCAATAGTTGGAGAAAAATGACCCCCTCATTCCCCTAACACACACACACACACACACACACACACACACACACACACACAAAATGGCAGC